ATCTCTGTAGCCATCTGTATGTGAAGTCATCTAGTATGTAGCTTTCTCCTTGCTGGCCAAGAGCTCTCTCTCTGTGATCCACAAGGGAAGGGCTAGTGCTTAGTGCTAGCCTCATTTTTCCTGAAGATCCACAAAGAACTTCTGTTGCCTTCCGTAGTACTTCCATTCCAATCTTCCCCAGACTAAATCACTATTGCATGGGTCAAGTAGATGCCAAATAACTAATGAATCCTTTTCCTTTATTCAAACAGTGTGGGGGAAGGGATAAACTCACACTCCAGTTGTGAAGTGAGGATGTTCTCTTCCCTGTTCTTCCACGTCTCTAAAGGGTCCTTTCTCAAACCACATACATTCGTGGGGAATTTTATCCCTCCATTCAAAAGATGTCTGGGCCTTGATTCTTTTTTTGTGTCAAGATGTTGGCAAGAAGCTGTTGGAGGCTTTTCTCTGCTTGCTTTGAAAGAGGAAAGAGGAGAATTTAGATCTAGAAGTAAGTTTAAGTTATTAAGAGTTCTGATTTCAGTTCATTCTCATTACAGAAGAGAGCTGCATTCCAGTTGCTAGCAAATGTCCTAGGAACATTTACTTTGAGAGGAGACATTTTAGTTTCACATGAGAAAAAGCATCATTTTCTTTTTTAACATCGTTTAACCCTATTCAAAGTAGTAGTAATAATTACCAATGAAAATGATAATAGAATAATACTGGCATTATTGTACTAAAGAGTTCTCTGTATTTTTGATGATTTGTGAGTTGGCTTAAAGTGTGAGATTTCTAGCCCCTCCTCCATTACCTACAAACAGGTTAGATAGCGAACTATTCTAGAAGATAGCCATGTACTCAGTTTATGTTCTTGCTGATACCTACATCCCTCCCCCAGTGGGAGAGCAGGTGGAGAAGCACACCTTTTTCTATACATGCTACAATTACTCAGAATTAAAGAGAAGTTTTTACTTCCAGATCCATCATTTATATACTCCAAGTACTTTTTTTTTGGCAGTACTGGGGTTTGAATTCAGAGTTGCTTGCTTGGCAGGCGCTCTACCACTTGAACCATGCCTCCAGCCCTTTTTGCTCTGGTTATTTTTGAGATAGGTCTTGATTTTTGCCCAGACTGGCCTGGACCAAGATCCTCCTATTTTATGGATGACAGGTGTACACCACCACACCTAACTATTGTTCGAGATGGGGTCTCACTTATATTTTAAAAGGCTTATCTCAAACCACATCCTCCCAATTACAGTGTACCAAGTAGCTAAGATTATAGATGTGAGTCAGCAGCTCCCTGCTCAACAAGTACTTTGTGCGTGTGCCACACATGTGTTAGGTGCTTCAGAGCCATGGATGACTACAATACATGTGGTTCCTACCAGAAGTTGTTATCCTTTGAGAGAACTCTTAAGTTATTATCTTCAACTTCTCCGCTGATCTCCTTTCCCTTAACCTACAAATACATTTGTTGATCTTTTTTGTTTTTTAAAGTGTTCCTTTGACATTTGTTTGCTTTAAAACTATTGCCCTTTCTCTTTACCTTCTCAAGTTTATGATAGCCTGTGATCATTTACTCATTCTAAACTCTGACTTGCCTCCCTATTGACCTTATTCTTTTGAAAATCACCAGAATTCTTTTCTTAACTTTTCATTCCTTACCTTTTTGGTCTCATTGTGTACTATACCATCCCTCTGCTTCCTTGCTGACCTCACCACATTCTGTTCCACTAACTTCTTTAATGACAGTGAGTTCTATCTTCTCTGTCATTTCAGTGGTTGTTTTCCTTCTGCTCATCCCCATATGTAGGTAATTTTTCCAAGTATTTGTCTTACCATGCTTCTTTTTTCTGGAGACCTCCTTTCTTTGGCTGTCATTTTTGCTTCCAGGACTCTCAGATGAAAATACTTTGAAAAAATACAAAGTATAGGATTACTTTGTTAAGTCTTTTGTATCCTGTGATGTGAAGTCTCTTCTGAGGAAATTCACATTACTCAGTGCTTGGCTAATCTTTTCTCTTTTCCCATTGCTACTGATTTTGTTCAGATTCTCATTAATTTGCCTAAAATTATATCAAAAGTCAGATTTTCATGACTCAGTTCTCTTTCTCTAAATCCATTTTATAAACTTCTTCCAGATTACTCACATTGAACCACTCCCCAGTCTTGAAATCTTCTGTTGGCTTCCCATTGTGCATAGAATAAAGCCCTATTCCAAACTGGGATTCAAGGCCTTTCATGATTTGGTCTCAGCTTAGCTGTTCAGCTTAATATCCTGCCACTCTCTTCACTGTATTCAATATATGTATTTCCTGACACTTTAGTCCTATACTTTTGTGTGCCTAAGTCATGATGTTGGTGGTTTGTGTACTGTGGAGATAAGAGCATCTTCAAATAAGCCATGCTGTGCTGTACTATATATTTGATTATATAGATAGCAGTAAAGGCAGAACATTAAGTCCCTGTCTTTAGAAACCAACTGTCTAATAGACAACCAGAGAGAGATTTTTTTTTTACCTCAGAAGCATTTAAAGATACATCTAAATAAATACTAAGATACTATAAAGGGGAAAGGCTAGCATTTTGACAGTATTATAGACATTTCCTTGTCATCTTATTTCTATCTTGTGAAATACTTTTTCTTTTCATTTAACTGACCATTATGTTTAATTTCAGGCTCTTGATGGTTTTTTTTTAGCAATCATGACAGATGGAAATATAATATATGTGTCTGAGAGTGTAACTTCGTTACTTGAACAATTACCAGTAAGTATAAAAATCATATAATCTCTTTATTATTTAATGGCTATTTTTAAATAGTCTAAGTACTAGGAAATGGACCTTGAGAGCAATATTGAACAATGGCTGAAGGGTAGCAATGAAACCTCCAAGTACATCTTTATTTCAGTGTTGCTGTATTTTCTCAGATCAGTCATGACTATAAACTAATGTCTAGTAATGTAATATTCTCCCACCACTTTAACCTGTGTTTTTCTTCCCTTTTTTATTTAAAGTTAACTTTTCAGCGTTTGCTTTTTAATTGGCCAGATGTAGATTTAAAAACATTGAGAATATCCTGAGAATAACCAGATTTCTACAAGATACTTGTTTGTATTTAGAGGCACTCATAAGTAATTTTTTCAAAAGAATGACTTCTAAAAATGCACTAAAAATAGTGAGTGCAGAACTTTTACTCAATTTGAGTTGATTTGGTGATGTAATACTGGCTGTGTTCAATTTGTTGTCAGTATGACTAAAAAGATATAAAGAATTAGAAGTGTATTGTGAAATTGTGATTGAGATGATGAATACCTCAGTTGTCTGTCTGCTTTTTTACTCAGTATGTATTTATCGAACATCTATACTGTGCTAAATGCTCTGCTGCACTTGGTAGTTTTTAAAATGAATTTGCAGCTTTACTTAAATATTGTTATCTAAGACGGGCTTGTGGTGTAAATATTCTAGTATTACTTAAAAATGACTCTATGCCTGTCCTTTGAAAATTTATAACAATGCAAAGTAAATACTTCTTTCAAAAGATACTTTATGCTCTATTTCCCTCCTTCTGGTTCCTCTGGTATTTCATACATTACAAAGAGAATGGACTTTATACTTAAAAGGTCAAACTCTGAAAGGGCAATTTTTTATTGAAAGTCAGGCAGTAAATAATGTACTTTGGTTCACATAGAAAATGACTTTACTGTTTTTCTAGGGTTTTTCTTTTTCTGTAAGTTCAAATAGTAGGTAATAAGCCCAGCATCTAAAAAATGATATGCAGAAATATGATTTGAAAGTTTTTGAATAGTTAAATGATGACAGTGAAAGGTTAATTGAGGGGGTCAGAATTTTTGTCCCTTCTGCCTATAAATAGGAACACAGTTGTTTAAAAATGTTATATCCAAAATATATTTGACTTTTTTTTTGAAGGAGCTTCAGTCCTTTTAAGCAGCTATTGTCTGTAGGAGTCATTATTTAACTGTCCTTTATTTACCTAAGGGAAAAGATTGGTAATAGTTGTAATTTCCACTAAATGGTATTAACATTGACCCAGTGTAAAAATATGTCATATAACTTTCATTCCTTCACACAAATGGTTGAGAGAGATAAAAGAATTCAGAAAGCTACCATTTTCTTTTCTTCTGTTTGAATTGTGTTTGGGAAATGAATGGATATTATTTTAACATCAAATGTGATTACCCTGGTGTAGAGACTGTTAAGTGTAATGGTCAGTGGAAAAGGAGAAGCAGAGTGGGGAAGCACTGCTTATGATGATACTCAGGATGCTAGCCATTTATATTCTTTTCTCTGTGAACAGGAAACATCCAATGAATTTATAGATAAAAAGGGGTGAAATAGATTGAGTCATAATGCAGTGAAGTAGTAGTAAAAGAAGTTGTTGGTAAGATAAACAATAGTGGAATACCATAATTATTCTCGAAATGGAAATTTTAGTTGTTATTTTAAATTGTTTTCTTTCAAGACTAATTTTTACATTCTTTCCAGTGCTCATCATTTGATACTTTATTATCAACATGAGACAATTTTTTACCATTTGTTATTCATAACTGAAATTTTCATTCATTTCTTCAGCTCTAGCAGCTTTTTAGACTTCCATAAGAATTGCTTTTTAAAACATACATATATTTGGGTGCAGTTACCCCTTAAGTCATTATCAAATAACTCTTTGACCTTAAATCATTTATTGTATTAATATATAATAAATGCCTTTTTATGGGAAATGCCTGATGTGAGTAATAAGTACTAAAGGAATTTTATTATTTTTCTTAAGGATTTTTATGCTAAGGGAATGCTGTTTTGAAGGAAATTATTTGAACTAGTCTTTAAAAGACAAAAGATACGGAAGTGAGGAGCTGGGGGAAGGCTGTTCTACTTCATGGGGTGAACCTTGATGGCTAGACAGAAGGCAGAAAGAGCGTGAATGTACAATTAGTAGTAAAGCTCCCCTTTCTTGCCTCCCATCCTCCCCAGAGGCTCCTTTTAAATTTTATTTTAGATTTTTTTTTAAGCAGTGGAGCTCTTCAAACAAAACCTTTATAAATGTATAAAATATAAACCAGGCCTCGGGGTATGGCTCAAGTAGAGCACCTACCTAGCAAGCTTGAGGCCCTGAGTTCAAACTCTAGTACTGCCAATATGTATATAAAATGAAGGTGGTTCTACTTTGAATGCAGTCCTGCCTTCACAGCTCCTTTTCACTTCCCTGGGCTCCCACCCATGCCTCCACTATTCTTGAGGTACCACCTCCATATCCCTAGGATCTACTGAGCAGCTTGGAAATGCAGAGAAATCCAGTAGAATGAACTGGACTCAGTAGACGTGTAAAGTTGCTGGAATTTCATTGTGATTGGTACTTAGGGATAGGAACGGTCATATTTTTACCTTACTAGTTGCCCTTTTGGGGCAAGACATTTTGAAGTGGGATTTAGGATAGATGCCTGGAAAAGGTGAAATAAGAGCAGAAGGATACACACAACAGAAATGACACCAGAGTCAGATCTCTTCATTTAGCTCTTTGCTGGTCCTTTGTGGTCATGTATAACACCATAAGCTTAAATAAATGGTAGGGCTATGTCATATAGCCAGACTTTTGTTCTTAACTTGCTCAGTACTACTGTATTTTAAAATGTTCAAATGTAGTGAAACTCAGCTTTGCAAATAATATATCAGGGGTTTCTTTGTGGGGGAGGAGGGTGATATTGGGGTTTGAACTCAGGGCCTCACACTTGTTAGGCAAATGTTCTACCTTCTACTTGAGTCACACACCCAGCCATCAAGCTTGTTTCTTTAAGATATAGTTTATAACTTTACATTTGTTGGATTTTATAGATAATAGAAAATCATATGTTTGTCTGTTGTTTTAATAGTAATCATACACTTTAAACAAAAATGCCTCTTGAATGATGAAATTATTTTATTTTTTAAAATTTCTTTTTCAGTCTGATCTTGTGGATCAAAGTATATTTAATTTTATCCCAGAGGGGGAACATTCAGAGGTTTATAAAATACTCTCTACCCATCTGCTGGAAAGTGATTCAGTAACCCCTGAATACTTAAAATGTAAGTAGTAACTCTTAAGCAGAAATTCACATGTTATATTTAATAGCATTATCCTTTGCTTTTGTAAGTTTATGAAAAACATAGACATGTTTAAGCTAAAATACAGCTTTGGCTTTTTGAATATTTATATGTGTATATAATGGAATTATGTTCATATTAAAAGTGAAATCTATTACAGAGTATATTGAACTCTTATTTGTTGTGAGAAGTATGATCACAGTTATGCCATAAAACTGAGTTTTTCACAAAAATAGAACTTGGCAATATATTTTTAAGTTTTAAATAAACTTTTACTGTATTTATTGAGACAAAATTAAACATTCTCATTTTCTTCATTATTAACCAAACTCTGGAAAAGAAGTCTGTTCTTTTAAAATTATTATTATTTTGGTGGTACCAGAGTTTGAACTCAGGGCTTTGCACTTTTTAGGCAGGTGCTCTTCTACTTGAACCACCCCTCCAGCCCTTTATGCTCTGATTATTTTGGAGACAGGGCTTTGTTTTTTGCTTAGTTTAGCCTGAACTGCAGTCCTTCCATTGTGTACTTTTTGCCATAGCTGAGAGGACAGACGTACAACACCACACCAGCTTTTTTCTCTTGAGAGCGGGTCTTGCTAACTTTTTTGCCCTGACTGGCCTTGAACAGCAGTCCTCTCAATCTCAGCCTCCCACGTAGCCAGGATTACAGGCGTGAGCCACTGGCATCTGACATGAAATTATTTTTAAAAGAAAAAATATTTGCTCTGTTAATTACACTGAATTAAATAATCCTTTATTGGACATATCTAATTGCTATATTATAAAAAGTAACAAGAACAATGAAGATAGTCCCTGCCATCACGAAACAAAATAACCAGGTGCTGGTGCCTCACACCTATAATCCTGGCTACTTAGAAGTCAGAGATCAGGAGGATTGCAGTTTGAAGCCATTCCAGGCAAATAGTTCTAGAGACCCTATCTGGAAATGCCTAACACAGGAATGGGCTGGTGGAGCACCTGCCTGGCAAGTCCTGAGTTCAAATTCCAGTACTGCTAAAAGAGAAAAGAGAAACATTAATTATTATGGTATAATTAGACATTTCCTTAGGTTCATTGGGTGAATCAGTTTGACCAGAGTAACTCATTTTCTTTGCTTTGTGTAAAATCTAAATTTGTTGCATCACTGTATGTGGCCATTAAACATGTTTTTAAATCAGTTTTTTAAATTTTGCCTTATCTGTTAATAATGACATTAATCACCTTAGAGGTTCTTTGTATCTTCAGATTCTTAATATACAATCTAAGTGTTGAGATTTATGTGCTTACACATATACATATATACATAACTTTGTATTGAATTATGTCTTTGATAAGTATGGATAGCCTTTCAGAATGAGTTGAGAAAAACTACAGACCAGAAAAATTCACTTAATGACCATTTTACATTTTTTTATAATCAACTTCATATGACATTGATTAATAGGTCACTTAAATCTGATACTTAGAAGAAAGATTCGGGCTAGATATTAGATATAGAATCCATATAGATGCCTATAAACCATATTTGAAGTCATGGATTGAATGGTATTGCTTGAGGTAAACGTGTAGAGCAAGGAGAGAATATGGGTCTAAGAGTAGCTGGAAGGGATGAATCAGAAGCAATAATTTGGAAACACAATGAACAAATGGTTCATTTACCTAAGTCCGAGGTGATTTGTGACTGCTCTGAGTTGATGATAATAAGTGCTCATTTGGGAAAAAATGATTTATGGGAGTTTCCTTGGTGAAATAAAAAGCAGGTGCTGGTGACACATTAGACTTGGGACTTGCAATGGGAAGAAAGAGACTAAATTAACATGTAAAGGGGGTATGGATATGATTTTGAATGTGGGAAAAAAACATATAAGGCAAAGAGAGACACCTGACTTAGGAAGAAAGGATAAATTCATTTTCAAATACTTTAAGTTAGTAATGGTACAATAAAGCAGAAATGTCCTGAAAACAAATAGTACTATGAGATTTTTGTCCTACATAAAATGTTAGAGTTGTGGGGAGATAGATGTAGGAGTTAGTAAGCCTACCAAGACTAGTCTATCAGTCTATACAGGGTTGCAGAAGATCAAGATCAAAAGAAGCTTTGTTGAAAGTCCCTAGTTTGCAGATGAATTAGAAGAGATAGGAATGATCAGTAAGGTAAGAAGACAAGTTCATGCAGTGAAACTAAGGAAGTGTGACTTGGTCTTGTTTTTTGCTGTGGTTTTTTTTTTTTGTTGTTGTTATTGGTTCATTTTGGTGGTGGTGGGGTTTTGAACTCAAGTCTGATGCCTGTCTAGTGCTCTTTAACACTTTAGCCATGCTTCTAGCTTGAAGTGTGAGTTTTAAGAAGAGGTAGGAGTCCATGAGGAAAAACTATTGAAGTGGGCAATACAAATGTCAGTAATATTTGGAAGAGTAGTTGCTGTTGGGGTGTGAGAATAAAAGCCACAGTGCATGAATTTAAGGGAAATGAATACATGCAAACTGGAGCATATATTGAAAAGGAAGGAGATCTCTGGTGCTAAAGAGATTATCATGAAAGACCTTTTGGTTGAGATTGCAGAAAGTAAGGACTCAAAGAAGAGAATTTGTGTGTGTTAAAGGAAAGAGCAACAAGTGGTGTGGCCCTGGTCCTAGGGATGGTAGGAAAAACTGTTCAAGATAGACATAAAAACAGCTTTAGAATGGGAAACAAAGCCTTTCTTTGAAATTAGAGTGAAGAATGAGAAGGAAGGACAGGTAAGTGGAGAAACAGTAAATTGCTTGTACTAGGTGAGACATCTCCTGCAGGAACTCTACTTTTATGGGCTAAATAAAATGTCAAGTAAGACTTCTGTTGTAGAAAATGGTTGTGAACTCATCCAACTTTTTATTGCTTATTTCAGCAAAAAATCAGCTAGAGTTCTGTTGTCATATGCTTCGAGGAACAATAGACCCAAAGGAGCCATCTACCTATGAATATGTGAGATTTATAGGAAATTTCAAATCTTTAAACAGTGGTGAGTTAAAACGCTGCTTTTACAATATGTTTTAGTGTGGAATTTTTCTAAGCATTAAGACACAGATGTTGGAATATTGCTAACAACTAGGTTTTACTGGATTAACTGATGGTACATATTTCTTTACTGTTTTAGTATCCACCTCAGCACACAATGGTTTTGAAGGAACTATACAACGCACACATAGGCCTTCTTATGAAGATAGAGTTTGTTTTGTAGCTACTGTCAGATTAGCTACACCTCAGTTCATCAAGGTATGTTTCTAATTTTAACTGCTCAAAGGAAATTTCAGCTGACATTATGAGAGTTGTCCTTATGTAATTTTTGGGTTGTCTCATTGAAACTTCCTGCAAACATTGAAGGAAGTAGTGGCTATGAGTCATTAAATATAATGGTCGTGATGTCTTTGAACAATGGGAATTGTATAACTGGTTTGAGGAGTAAGGCAGTTCATTCACTTTAAGGGGATACTGAGTTTGAGATGCATTGGAACATACAGACAGACATACAGAGAAGTCTAAATTCAGGATTAGGATTTATAAATCTATGAGTAAATGGGAAATGTGTAAAATGAGAAGTACTTATGCCGAGCTTGCATCAGTATTACTTATTGCTGTGTTTTAAAATATGATTTTTAATTGAATTTTATTGATTGATTGATTGTGTTGGGGATCAAATGCCACAGGGCTTTGTACTTGGTAGGTTAGTGCTTTTACCACTGAGCTATATTCCTAAACCTGTCACATGTTTTAGTACTAGAAAAATTAAAATGTGTTGAAATTTGTTGAGGTAAAAGTTAGACATAATCATAATAATGATTATGTCTAACAATATTTAGGATTCTTCAAAGGACCCGGGAAAGTATTTCTAAATTTTATTTATTAATTTACTTGTAGGAAATGTGTACTGTTGAAGAACCCAATGAAGAGTTTACATCTAGACATAGTTTAGAATGGAAGTTCCTTTTTCTAGATCACAGGTAACTTCATTTTTTTAATTTCATAAAACGGTAATTGCTGTATAATTTCTGACAGTCATGGATTTTAGGGACAAACCTTTTTTCTCATCAGGACTTTCAAATCCATTATTCATTTTTCAAAAAATAACCCCCAAAATTGATTTTTAGTTGAAATATTTCTTATGGAAAAATTATAATACTGTTTTTACTATGTAATTTAGGGCACCACCAATAATAGGATATTTGCCATTTGAAGTTCTGGGAACATCAGGCTATGATTATTATCATGTGGATGACCTGGAAAACCTGGCCAAATGTCATGAGCACTGTAAGTAGATTTTAATATTTCTGGTGATAATACTGCTTTAAATCATATAAGCAGAAATTCTTTCCTACTAATACAAAGTGTTAAAAAAAGATATATAACCATTTTTGTGAATTTGTAAAGTAGAAACAAGTTTAAATTAAAATTGACCTATAAGTCCCAGTAGATCCATGTAAAGCAAAATATTCTACTACATTTAAAAAATACAAAATTTTCCAGATTAATTGCCACAAATTCCAATTTTGGCTTGACATTTGTTTAAAGTCTTCAGAACTTAAAGTCTGCAGAGCATGCTTTGGGAAATAACTGCACTTAACAGGCACTTAAAGTAGTGAAATTATTTTGATTTGGTTAGTTACAGTTTACAGTGAGTGCCTCAGACGTACTGTATCTGACAGTGTGGAGAAAATGTCACGTGTGATTACTTCTTGTTACTCTCAGGTATCTGTGAAGCAAGATGTCAACATTGTAAATCCTTGAGTATTTGGGATTTAATTGTGTCTGAGATGAGCAGTAACTGACTAGAAAGTTGACACTCATAGATCTCATAATTGCTTGGGTCCTTAACTAGCTTGAAAAGATTTTTTTTTTAGATGAAATTAACTTTTTATGAAAAGAGTAGCATTTTCTTGCCAGGCATGGTAGGGCATGCCTGTAATCCAAGTACTCTGGAGACTGAGGCAGAAGAATCCTAAATTAAAGGCCTGCCTGCGCTACATAGTGAGTTTTGAGGCAAGCGTGGGCCTTGTCTCTAAAACAAAGAATAGCATTTTATTATAATTGATATATATGTTTTTGAAAAGCCCCCAAATAATTTCATATATATAGATTTAAATGTAAATGGATAGCTTTTGGCCAAAAATCCGGATTCTTCCTAACTAAATATGAATCAAAAAATTTTTTTCCTTTTCTCTTTAGTAATGCAATATGGGAAAGGCAAATCATGTTATTACAGATTCCTGACCAAAGGGCAACAGTGGATTTGGCTTCAAACTCACTATTATATCACTTATCATCAGTGGAATTCAAGGCCAGAATTTATTGTTTGTACCCACACTGTAGTAAGGTAACAATTTTTGTAGAAAATTTCTGAATTTAAGTAACCTCTAATAATGATTTTGGTAATGTAATTTTTATGAATGATTTGTTAGTGAGCAACAAAGCAATATTTTAGCATTTTTAATATATCTTCAATATGTTATTAAATTTACTTATAGGCATTGTATAGGAATATCATATGGGTAATAGATGGCTATATAATGTTGAGTATGAACTTGTGTTTTATAGCAGAAAATTGTACTGTCATTATGTACCAAAAGCAGTCACGCAAAAGGAAAACTGGAGTAGATAAGCATCCTCTTCCTTTATTTGGTTTCTATTAATTTACGTGCTTTTAGTTACAAATCATTCATAGAAAAATACATAGGAAAATGCAGATTGAGTTAAGATAGTGCATTGTAGATGTATGTTAGGTTTATGTAGCATATAGACAACAGTTCAGAATTAATGAAGAACAAATGAGACACATAACAAACACTGAATGGTTACATGTCTAAGGTATTTTAAGTGAATGACCAAACATTAAAATTTAATTCTCTCCATTTATAGTTATGCAGAAGTTAGGGCTGAAAGACGGCGAGAGCTTGGCATTGAAGAGTCTCTTCCTGAGACAGCTGCTGACAAAGTATGTTTTTTATAGTATTTACCTAATTTCTTCTTAATGAAATGAAACTCAGTGATTAATAGGAAAGTTACTTTCAGATATTTCATTTTCTCAACTATGGCAAGGATATGACAACTTAACTATTTACTTTTATTTTTAATATTTTAAAATTTCTTTCACTTTTACAAGAGAATTGAAAGTCCTGCCACTTAGTAATGATTAGGTGAGAGATAGCTTATCTCAGATTAAAACTATAGTTGTTAATTACCTACAATGTGTTGGACTTTGGTTAGGTTCTTTATTTGAATTACAAAATGTGATTTACCTCCTTAGACATCCTTATCTAGTAGGTAACATCCCCACTTTGAAAATACTGAAACTGAGGTTTCAAGGGGAAACCCCCTCTAAAGACATATAACTGAGAAATTATAGTTAGAATTTGGACTCTGGTTTCTTTTTTTTTTTTTTTTGTCAAATGTGGAAGTATAGTTATATGATAAACATAAGTTGATGATGGGAAAGAAAGAACTAGAAATCCTACAGCAGTGTTCGTGATTAGGTAAAAGAAAATGGAATCTAGTACATGCGTGGACAGCTTGAGTTTAGCAAGGACTGGCAAACTGTGACCTGTAATGCCAGATCTGGTTCTCTGGTTGGTTTTGTAACATCTACAAACTATGCCTTTTGCATGTTTAAGTAGCTGAAAAAAATCAAAAGAGGGATAATAATGTTTTATGACACATGAAAAGTATATCAAATTCAAGTTCCAGTGTTGTAAGTAACACAGCCACACTCAATCGTTTATATATTGTCTGTGACTTCATTTGTACTGCAACAGCAACACTAATTCGTTGTGAGAGAGACTGTATGTCCCTGAAAGCCTAAAAAATTGATCTCTAGAAGAGCCAATATTATAGAAAGAGTTGGCTGTTCCCTGATTTATAGCAACACAGAGAAAGGTAATAGAGTATGTTTGTATCAATTTTCACAGGCACACTCTCACTTTATATCCCTTTTCTCTCTTTGTTCAGTTTAAATTCATGGCTTATGATTGTGATCATGCATGTATTTTCAACTCCCTACCTTCTGTCTCCCCTTATCACACTCCTTGGCAAAATCTCAGTGCTGGTTAAACCCAGCTGGCAGATAGGTAGATTTGGTAGTGGGAGATTGTAGCAATATTCTCAGTGAAATAGTAACCACAGTTACCAGCTAAGAGTCAGATTAGGAGAGAAGTTGTTGGATGTTTGAGAAGACAGACAAAAGTATTAAATGGTTATGTAAGAGAATAGAAAAGTGAATGTTCTGGGGAATTGATGTCTTTCTGACAAACAAATCAAGAGCCCACTTGAGGTTCTTGGTCATTAATTTGAAGTGAGAAGAGTTATGTCTTTTTCTACCATACATCAGCTGTGCAGTATAGGCAAAACATTCATTTAACTGGCATGGAGCTTTTGCCAAGGAAGTTGTAAAGGATAAGAGGAGATGCTGGGGAGTTAAAGATGTGTGTGTGGTTATAATAATTAGCCATGAATTTAAGCTGCATAAAGAGGGGGAAAGAAGATGTAAAGTAAATGTGCAAGTGTGAAAATGTGGTAGAATTGATATATTATCAATTCCACTTAAGCTAAAAGATTATTGGAATTTGGAACTAAAGAAAAAGAGTAGGAAATATGGGAAATGGTGGTTAGAGAATAGTATGTTTGAAATAGAAATTGTGGAAGGTTATTCTTATTGGTAGCAGTTCTGAGGTATGGATGTAAGAAGTGGTGACTGAGGACTGGTAGATCTTAGAGGAGAGGACGTAAGGCAGAAAGTTCATGGTGTTGAACACATGATTATAGGTAATTTAGGAATATATAATAAATGAGGGGAATTCTGAACCAGAGGCTAAAAGTGAATTTACATGCTTGCTGTGAAGTGACCACAGGGTTGGTACATGACTGCAACAAGAGATATCATTACATTGCATGGTAATGTGATTGTGAGATTCAGGGCTATGACTTTGAGGAAAAGAGGCAGGGAAAGTGGTGTGGAACCATCAGTACAAGGAGTTCTCTTCCTGTGATCAGAGAGTGATGAAAGAGAAAACCACCATCATTAAACAAATAATACAAAGAAAGTGGTATCCTCTGATGAGATCTGGGCTTTCATTAGAGCAGGCCAGTGAAGTTACATTCAGAGCTACGGTGGAGAATATGGAGCAGTTTGTCAATTATGGACAGTGAGGACAGGTAGAAGAAGCTTTCAGAGGCTGGGAAGTAATGGGAAATGGAGGCAAAATAGAGGAGGTGAAAAACCAAATGGCTTTTAGGGTGGAGACTAGGCATTGGGTATGACATCAGACTCTCATCCCTTTTTATTCCTTTATCCCTTAAGTAACTTTGAGATCATTGTGTGTGTGTGTGTGTGTGTGTTTGTGTTTGTGTACAAATGCATGTTCCTCCCTTTATGTAGCTTTCCTGAAATAAGAAGAGGTACTTGTTTCTTACCCACTATTGTGTATGGAGAGCCTTCAGCAGGATACTTGGCTCTATCATAATGGGGAAGAAAAAATGGGTATACTCTTCCATATTAGCAGGTGGGGTTATATCTTTGATGGAGGTAAGGTAAGTGTTCTCATCTGCATAAAGCAAGGCTATCAGCTGAGAGAGGGAGGCAGGCTTAAGAACAGTGCAGAAGACATGGAACAAGTGTGAAGAGTAGGAAAGTGAGCCTTCCAGAAACATTTAACAGTGTTGCTGCCTAGAATGGAGTGTTCATTTGAAGTTAGTGATCATTTCAGATTGGTTGCAGTTGTTTCTACAGGGACTCTTGAGGAAGTGATCTAGAAAGGAATAGGATAGTATGGTTTACATGTGGTACTTGTAGAAGTGCCACAGTGTTTGGTGATGACAAAGCAGAGGGTGAGTGACTAAGGTGAGGCTAGGAAAAAGGTTATTGATGAGGAATTCATAGAAAGTGGAGAGGTTAGGACAGCATTTTGGATGATTGATCCACTTAGATGTTGAAATTCTGGAGAAAGTTCAGAACTGGAGTGAAGAAGATTAGGAGCAGTCAAATGCTGAGTTCCAAAGATGCTTACTGTCCTTTAATTCTGTGAACCAAAATGGTGTCTTTATTCTCTTGTTTCTTTTTATAATGTGAAAAACCACCACTTAAACAATTTTAAAGGGTGCAGTGCAGTGTCATTAAGTACATTTCCACTGTTGTACAGATGTCCCCATTGTCCATGCCCAGGACTTTTTCATCTAATACCCATTAAGCAACTCCCCATTCCCTTTCCTCCCCATCTCTTGGCAACCACCTTTTAACTTGGATTTTAAATTTGTATAAGTGGAATTATACAGTATGTATCCTTTAGTGACTGGCTTATTTTACTTGGTATAATATTATCTTGTAGCATGTGTCAGAACTCCCCTCCTTTTAATGCTCCTGTAATGTTCTTTACATACAACATTTTGCTTATCCCCATGGAAAGTTAGGTTGCTTTCATCTTTTGGGTCATTGTGAGTGATGCTGCTATGAGCAAGTAGCTATTTGAGTCCCTGCTTTCATTTCTTTTGGTATATACCAAGAAGTAGAGTTGCAAGATCATATGATAATTCTGTTTAATTTGGGGAGAAATTGCCATATTGTCTTCTGTAGTGGCTGCACATATTTCCATCACCAACCTACAAGAATTCTCGATTCTTCACACCCTTGCCAATATTGGTTATTTTCTGAGTTTTGATAGTAGCCATTCTAATGAGTGTGAGGTGGTATCTCATTGTAAGTTTTGATTTGCATTCTCTGATTAGTGAGGTTGTCTAGCTTTTCATTTGCTTACTGGTCATTTGTATATCTTCTTTGGAGAAATATTTATTTTGTCCTTTGCCCATATTTTTGTTTTTGTTTGCTTTTTTTTTTTTGAGATGGTGGTCTCACTATGTTTCCAGGGATTGTCTCAAACTTCTGAACACAAGTGATCCTCCTGCCTCAGCATCCCAAGTGCTAGGATTACAGATGTGAACCACATCCCTGGCACATATTCTTGACCTTTATTTTATTTTGGCAGGACTGGGATAGTACTTCATGCTCACTAGGCAGGCACTTTACCACTTGAGTGATGCCACCCGCTTTTTAAAATTAAGTTGTTTTTTCTAGTTTTAATATATACTAAATATTAAATCCTTGTCAGATATATGATTTACAAATATTTCCTCCCATTCTGTGGATGACCTTTTCACTCTGTTGATGGCGTCCTTTGATGCATAAGTTTTTAATTTTGATGAATTCAAGATTATTGACAGATCCAGAGTCATAAAACTGTTTCCCAATGTTTTCTTTAAGAATTTTACAGTTTTTTTTTTTTTTGAGGGCGTGGTTCAAGTGATAGTAAATACAAGACCCTGATTTCAAACCCCAGTACTGCCCCTCCCCCCCAAAATGTTTTATAGTTTTAGCTTTTAACATTTAAGTCTTTGATATATTTTGGGTTAATTTTTATTCATGGTGTAAGATAGTCCAACTTCGGTGTTTTACTATTTCTCTGAATAAATGAACCCACAACTTTTCAGGCTAAGAAAAAATTACATTTCTTCATCTAATATATACATAGATACTTTTGCCTTGTTTTAGGTAAAAACTGAATTGAAGAGTTTTATTTAATTGTTTCCAAGTAATATTTCTAATTTGAGATCTGTGACCTATACCACAAGAAAATGTTTTTTTTCTCTGGTGCCCTAGAGCCAAGATTCTGGGTCTGATAATCGCATAAACACAGTCAGTCTCAAGGAAGCATTGGAAAGGTTTGATCACAGCCCAACCCCTTCTGCCTCCTCTCGGAGTTCAAGAAAATCATCTCACACAGCAGTCTCTGACCCTTCCTGTGAGTACCTTAGCTTGAAAACAGACTTCTGTTAAAAACAGTACTTTTAAACTTTTACTGGTGTTAGCACTCATTGTCCAATGCTTCTTTAAAATTCTAATTTTTTATGTCTTGATGTATACTTAACATTTTCTAGACATGTTGCTCACCTTTACCAAAGGATTAAGATAAAAATGACCTATAAAATATGTAGGTGTTAATTATAATGTCATTATTGTTACCATTTTAATCATCCCTCTAAAAAAAGAAAATCTATTTATCCCCCTTTTTTTTTACAATAGGGCCAGTAAGTGTAAGTTTGCTTTTTGAAAGTTTTTGCCATATCTCATCTTTGTGAAGACTTGCGTAATTGACTGCATGCTGTAGTTGGTCCTATATATCTACAGTCCGTGTCTGTGGATTCAGTCAGTGGTGGATAGAAAATGTTCCAAAGGGGGAAAAATACCACATCTGTACTCAACACGAACAGACTTCCTTTTTTGCCATTATTTCCTAAACAGTAACAGCTGTTTGCATTATATTAAGTAGTATAAGTGATACTGAGATGATCCTAAGTACACAGGAGAATGTGCATAGGACACGTGTAAATATGATGCGATTTTATATAAGGGGCTTGAGTGTCCATGGATTTTGTTACCTGCAGTCCTGGAACCAGCCCCTTGTGGATATTGATGGAACTACTACGTTTATATTTAAAGCTATCCTAGTTTACGTATTTCCTTTGTTCTTAAAAAAAGAAATAAAGTGACTCTTACAGTTATGGACTTCACTCTCATTGAATGATTTAGAAAACTAATTTCAGAAACCATTTTTATTCATTGAAGTATAATTTGAAATTAATCCTTGAAAACCGTTTCTAAGTACTAATGGTGTTCTGGTTTTGTTGACTAACTTCAGCAACACCAACAAAGATCCCAACAGATACTAGCACTCCTCCCAGACAGCATCTACCAGCTCATGAAAAGATGGCACAACGGAGGTCATCATTTAGTAGTCAGGTAAGCTCTTTAGTTAATTTTTTTTGAACAAAGATTTATTAAAAGGGAAAAATTTCTAAGTCTTCAGAGACTTACTGATTCATTATCCCTTTCTATAAAGATCAAAATAGTTGTTCACATATGATACTTAACTCAAGTTCTTTCTGTTTTTTATGAAGTGTCTGTTATACAGATAAGCTATTTATATTATTTTTCAGGTAAAATGTTAGGTTTTTTTTCGGTTATGAAAAACTGATAATTGAAAACCATTGTATATCTGTGTTCAAATACCAGTTGCTTTCAGTTACGTCCAGCCAGCTTTTACTGAGCACTGTGCTGGGTGCCATGGAAAATAAAAGATAAATGGGGGTCTGGGGTTCAGTGGTAGAATGCTTACCTAGTATTCATAAGGCCCTGGCTTCGATTCCTAGCACTTAATAAAAAAAAAAAAAAATAGGGAACAGACCTTTCCATTGAGGAGAAGAAGACATACCTATACTTAAGTAGCAAAAATACGAGGCAGATTGTAAGATCAGTGATAAACATGTCATGTTGATACTCTGGTGGAAGTATTCATATACGAGAGTGAGTGTCACTTCATTGTTACTTTTTATTTTGCTTGTAGTCTATAAATTCCCAGTCTGTTGGTACATCATTAACACAGCCAGTGATGTCTCAAGCTGCAAATTTACCAATTCCACAAGGCATGTCCCAGGTATTTTTTGTTTGTTTTGGTTGAGTATTTGTAAATGATAAGTTGTTTTTAAACTATTATGAATGTATTTATGTGCACATGCGCACACATACATATACAGGGATAGGTGCAGTGAATCTTAACTTAGAAACATTTAGAATATCTAGAGATTTGTTTGTTATAAGATTATGAGGTATCACTGGCCCTTCAGGGTCACAAGTGCCAGATGCCTTTCAGGATTCACGATAGTCTCATATAACAAACAGTTGTCCTCGTCCGTAATCACAGCATTTGGAAGGCTGAGGCAGGAAGATCATGAGTTTGAGGCCATCCTGGGTCTCAAACCTTTTTGGAGACCCTGTCTCATAAAAAAAGTCTTACTGGCAAAAAAAAAAAAAAAAAAAGTCCTGCTTGATATGCCATAACATCTCCTCCCCTATTGAAAAACACTGTAGATAGGAAGATACCAAAGATAAAATAGTTTATTTTGTTCTTCCTGTGGGTATTGGGACACTTGAGTAACTTTATTCTTATATTCATTCATTCATATATGGGATATTTAGTAAGTTCCTTGTGTGTGGTGCTGACAATATTTATAATATCTATACTAAAAGACTTACTACATCTAGAGGGAATGACATAACTACAAAACCATCTTATATAATCTGTGCACATTATGTGGACCCTTAATGCAGCCTTAAAGGGATAGAGGAAAACTTTCTAGAAGTGTTGCCAAACCTGAGTCCCACACAAGGCCTAAATACAGAAATTAGCAAGACACAGGAGAGCAATCCAAAAGCAGTGCTATATTATTCCTGATCATAACTTCTCAACTTGGGATGTATACCTCATTCAGTATCTCAAAACACATTAAGAATACTACTGAGTAGTAATAAATATAAAATCTTTTGACTGTTTTGTTTAGCATTAAATCCTTATTTGTAGTAATATAAACTGTCGTATAAGGTCTTTACAACAGCACTCTATTTTAAATACTGTATTTAGTTACAACAGTTTTTAATCAGCATAAAGTCTGCAATTCGTATTTTGAAGTGTTGACAAAATTTTTTATGTAAATATTCAGTCATATTTCAATATTATTCTTTAATCTCAGGATATTGATTAAGCATTTCCTAACATTTTATATGGATATTTTCATAAAAAAATAATATGTACTATGTCAAAAATATTAGCAATCATTCAAATCTCACATTTTGTTTTCTAATAAAGCGAAACACTTTCCCTCTTTGTTCTGTGATTTTAGTTCCTGTTCTTCTGTGTTCTGTGTTTGTTTCTATTTTTTTATTTGTACTTAATAGAAATTCTTTAAATGGTGGAAGCTGGGCACCAGTAGTCATGCCAATAATCCTAGCTATTTTTAGGAGGCTCAGATTGGGGAGGATCACAGTTTGAGGCCAGCCTTGGCAAATAGTTTGTGAGAGCTCATCTCCAAAATAACCAGAGCAAAGTGGACTGGAGATGGGGCTCAAGTGGTAGAGCATCTGCTTTGCAAGCGTGGAGCTCTGAGTTCAATCCCCAGTCCCACCAAAAAATAAATTCTTTAAATGGTGACAACATAATGTTTACCTGCAGGTACAAATTACTTTAGTTAAAATAAAACATATTTATATATCAAATAAGTAGAACATATTTTGACTGATATTCAAAAAGTTATAAGAAATTTGAGGTACTGAATGTATAATTTTCTCACATTTAGTAGAATCTAAGATATGGTCTGGTTGTAAATTTTAGAAATCAAAGTTATATGCTTTGATAAGTAATATTTGGTACCCTTAGTCTTTAAAAAAATTAACTAATTCAGCCTTTTTGAAGATAGAGTTAAAAAAGTGTTGAGGGAGACATTTCTTATTTTTAGGTACAGTTCATTGTAAGAGATTATTTTCAGATAGATCTTGTTCTGCTGAAACTCTTTCTGCTCTTATACTGTTAGCATGTACTGAATATTCATAGAAATAAATGAACCAGTGTAGATTTAAGAGGTGAATTATCAAATGGGTTTAAGCTGTAGAAAATAGGAGCTGCTTAAAACTCAGGTATAAAATACAGAGAAATAAGATTGAAAACCCTTGAAAGTAGAATAACTTTGTTTTCATTCATGTATGCATTCCATTTATTCAATTATAATTGCTTTGTCATTGAAAACCTATATTTTAAACTAACTGGGGACAGTATCAGTTGAAAAGATGAGTGAAAATTGTAGTTTTGGTTATTTGTCAGATTTTTGTAACTTTGGATAATCCTATCGTGTACATAGAGGGCATTCTAGGGGTGACAGAGTTTGGTATGAATTAAATCCAGTTACAGGCTACATTTTTATTTGGTAAAGAATAGAAATGAAGGTGAGAAATAAGTAGCTTGTTCTAGTAAGTGGTTGAGCTACCCTCAGTATGAGCTTGGCTCTTCTAACTCCAGGATGTATTTATAATCAGTCAAGATCTGGTCAGAAACCAAAGCATACCAGAAATTTGAACAGGGATGATTTTTAAAAAAATATTAACTAGTAACTAAAATAAATAAAGAGAATCGAAAGGCTATAGGAATAGGAGAGCATCCAAGGAAGAGACAGACTGAGAAAACTCCCCCCAGCTTCCTGAACAACTCTTCCCCTCACCCTAAGCTAAGATTCAGATGTCATTGTAGACAGGTCTGACTACAACCATTGAGTGATGGAGGGGTTAATGCCACAAAGGCAGATTGGAGGACAGGAAGCTACCTGCTGGGGGACTGGTAAAACTTGTTTGGAAGATTTCCACTGGGAGGGATGTCATTGGGACTTGCTGAAAAGCTGCTTGCTCTGGGTGCTGATGAAACTCACTAGGAGGCTGCCCATTGCACCTGTGACAAAAGAGACTGAAAAGCATCAGAACCAGAAAGATAAGCACCTTTATTTGTAGCATCCTTCTAGCACCATCTTTTGACAAAGGAGAATTAGTTTTAAGGTCCATCTTCCATTGTCACAGAGCAAAGTTGGACAGATTAGGAGCAGAGATGTAGTACATTGATAAGTGGCGTGACATTCTTAACTCATGATATATTGTTTACTTTTCACATTTCAAGTAATTATGAGGAGCAAGTAATTCTAAAATATGTTACTTTTCCCACATATGGTACTTCAGTTTCAGTTTTCAGCTCAGCTAGGAGCCATGCAACATCTGAAAGACCAGTTGGAGCAACGAACACGGATGATAGAGGCGAATATTCATCGGCAACAAGAAGAACTAAGGAAAATTCAAGAACAACTTCAAATGGTCCATGGTCAAGGGCTACAGGTAAGGTATTGTTACATTTGAAAACAGAGCATCCTGTTCACATTTTGGATTTCTAGAAAATTTATTTTTCTTAATGAACAGTGAGGTGCCAGAGAGTTCAGTTCAGCAAGTACCTGCACGTGTGATTATACCTAAAGCCTCCAAAGATACTCATTCCTAAGGTTATTTCCATCAGCCTTCTTGTTTTTGTAGATAAATGAGCTCAAGATTTTAGTTAAGTTCACATTCATCATATAAAAATATTTTATAGAAGCTTTGAGGTAAAGAATTTATAAGTTAATAGTTTTAATAAAATAACAGGTATGTTCGTATCCATCTTATTTGACCAATTAACAGTACCATCTAGGGAAAAGTTAGGTGAAAACAACTTCTATCTAATGTCAGAAATGATAGATGATAGGTGATACAAAGCTGCTAGCCAGGGCCTTTTGAGTATTACTGAGTTACACATTTTGTAACTATTGAAAACATGGCAAGGTTAGGATGAGTGGAAAGTGAAAATGGCGTTTCATAATTTATTCAATAATCATCTGTTGCTAATTTTTCGTTCAAAATGACCTATGTTTTGTTACTTGACTTTGAAACTTCATTTTGTTTGATTTCTTTTAGTGCTCTCATTTGCCTTTTTATTTTCCATTTATTCTTTATTCTTTTTTTTGGCGGTACTGGGGTTTGAACTGAGGGCCACTCACTTCCTAGGTGGGAGAACTAGCCCTTGAGCCACTCACCAATCCTTTTTGTGTTGGTCAATTTTGAGATAGGGTCTTGCTTTTTGCCACGGCTGGGTTGGACCACCATCCTCCTATTCATGTTTCTCCTTGTACCTGGATGACATGCCCACACCATCGTGCCCAGGCATTGTTGAGAAAAGATTTTGCCTAGGTTGGCCTTGAACCATGATCCTCTGATCTGTGCTTCCTGGGTAGCTAGGATCCCTTAAGTCAGTGCATCTGGCCTTGCCTTTGTTTTTAAACTACAAAGCTCATTTGGGGTAGGGATGTAGTTAGGAGTAGAGCCCTTGCCTAACCTGCTCAAAACCCTGGGTTCTGTCCCAAGTATAGCCAAAAAAAAAGAGAGTTTAAAAAAAAACCACCTCATTTAAATGTAATTTTATTTATTTTTATAGATGTTTTTGCAACAGTCAAACCCTGGATTGAATTTCGGTTCTATTCAACTTTCTTCTGGAAATCCGTCTAATATCCAGCAACTCACACCTATAAGTATGCAAGGCCAGGTTGTTCCTACTAACCAAATTCAAAGTGGAATGAACACTGGGCATATCGGCACAAGTCAGCACATGATACAGCAACAGACTTTACAAAGTGCATCAACTCAGGTAATACAGTCAAGTACAGTGTGCCATCAGATATTCAGTGATTGAAACACGTACTAATGTTAAAACAAAAAGTTCTGTCTTACATGCTCTTAAAGTTTGGTGATAATTATAACATATAATACTGAGTAATTATTAAAATATTTTGTGGAAAATTACATTAGTGTTCAATATTTCAACATTTAAAAAATTTTACAGTCTGTAAAGGCTCTAGTCTAATAAGTATACCAGCTCCTTATAACTTAAAGGTTACTTCTGTATGTTAAAAAGCTGACCAGGAAAGATGTTACATGTGCAGAATAACTGTTGGGGAATGAGTGATAGTTTAATCAACATTCCATGAAATTCTGGTAATTAGTGTAGGTCTGTGACTAGTTGAAAAAATATAAAAATGTGTAATCATCAGTCACTCACTTCAGGTATTTAGCAGAAATCCTATATGTGTATTTTCTATCATCCCTGTAAAGATCATGCTCCTTTAAAAGTGCAAACTTACTTTCAAGCCGAGGAATTCAAACCTAATCCATTCCCAGTTACTATAAGTCACTCCTTTGTGATTAGCTTTCTCTCAGAATAATATATCCTGCCACTCTTTCTTTGTTAATGTCAACTGTTGTTAAAATAATGAATATAGAAGCATATTTCCCAGATAATTTTGTTCAGTTAATCTCTCTGTAAAAACTTCTTTTCTAGCAGAGTCAACAAAGTGTACTGAGTGGGCACAGTCAGCAAACGTCTCTTCCAAGTCAGACACAGAGTACTCTTACAACCCCACTGTATAACACTATGGTGATTTCTCAGCCTGCAGCTGGAAGCATGGTCCAGATTCCATCTAGTATGCCGCAGACCAGTACCCAGGGTGCCACAGTAACTACATTCACTCAGGACAGACAGATAAGGTAGTTGTTGTATTTTGCTTGTCATTTTCTAAATTGTAAATTGATTAATTAAAAACAATAATGTGGGGCTGTGGATGTAGTTCAGTGGTAGATTACTTGGCCAGCATACACAAGGCCCTCAGTTCAGTCACCATTCCTGCAAAAAAACCAATAAAACAATCATTTGATTGTTGAGAAAACATACCTATTGTTTAAAGGGTTTAAAAGTTAAGAGTAACATCAAATTTTATTTTTTATCAAAAAATAGGCTACCAAATATTATAGGATCCACATTCTATAGCACACTGTTATATAAGGGTTATGACAGGCTGTTTCACCGGGCAACTTTTATCTTTTAAATACAGTGTTAGAGAGGCCTTAGTGTTAGTGGTTAGGGTAGTTTACCTTTTATAAATCAATTAAGTTCTCAACACTCATTACTTAATTTTAATTTTTTTTAAAGGATCTTCTCTCATTTCCCTGTGTCCCAAAGAAGAAAAATATGGGTTTTAGTAATTGGGTCAAGAGCCTATATGGTTAAGGCATTGAGGAGTCAGCTTTGAACTCAAACCTGGGTATCTCATTTCAAAGTTTAAGTGCTTAAATACTTAAGGTTTTGTGCACTATTAAAGAAAAACAGCCATCTATGACTTACTTCAGTGAGAAGTCCAAATTACTGACATAGAAATAAGTTTTCTGTGCTGTGAAGCTGTCTTTTAGCAACTATAGGATCTCTAGTCTTAAGTCTCTAATTTTAAATGCTTTTTATTTGTTAACTTATTTTACTCCAAGTACACTGCTTCTTGTATTATAGATTTGCTGTTGTATTGAGCAATGTAATATATTTTATCAAAATTGTGTTGATGATTTGCAGAAAGAAGAAGCTACAGGATTACATAGACAAGGAGAGCAGAGAAAACTCATTGTTTCTCTTGGGAACCCAGTTTTCTCAACTTAGGAAGTCCAACGTTTAGCTCTCACATTCTGTAGGAAGTCTTAGGAATGTGTACTACAGAAATGCAGAGGGCAGATTTTGTTTTTGTTGCTGGGGATTGGATCCAAGGCCTTGTGTAGATTATGCATGATCTTTATCATTCAGCTACACACCCAGCCACAGGACTGATGTAAAAGCCTAAGGAAAAAGACATTAAACTAGAATGCTGGCAAGCATTTGGGAGAGTGCAATTTAGAAACTATTTGTAAATACCTGTTTTCTTGAGGGGGGAAGTACATATTTCAGCAAACTTTTGAAGCACATAGATGAGTATGGCATAGCCCATTCCCCAGGTGTGATGAATACTTGATCTTTAGAAGGGAGTGAAAATTAGCAAATTCTAACAGCAAGCACTGTGCTACATTGATACATTTATAAATTGAGAATATTTTTATTTATTGTTAGAATGTCACTTGTTTTTAATTATGTTTATAAGATACAACCTTCAGTGTAAACTTTTCTATAAACGTAGAGTAATTTTAAGTTATCTTATGGTAGCTTTAAGTTCATTTGTGAATTATGTGCCAATGTGGTAAATGAACTATGTGCCACATTTATCTGACTCTCAAGTACCTAGTCAATTTTATAAAAAGAAAAATGTTTATACTTTTTTAAATGCTTAAAAAATTTTGTGATAAAATATATATAACATAAAATTTACTATACTAACCATTTAAAGTTTGCAGTTCAGTGGCCTTAAGTACATTCCCATGGTTGTTACTATCACTCCCAATCATGTCCAGAATGTTTTTGATCTTTCCAAGCTAAAACTTTGTATTTCATACCCATTAAACAATTCCCTGGCTTCCCTGCCTCCTATCCCTTGGCTACCACCATTCTCTCTGTCTGTGAATTTGACTATTTTGAAGTAGTTCATAGAAGTGGAGATCATTCATAGTGTATTTGGTATTTTTGTAACTGACTTACTTCAGTTAGCTTGATATTCTCTGGGTTCATTTATGTTGTAGCATCCTTCTTTAAGGCCTTCCTTTTTGTGTGTATGTACCACATTTCGTTTATGCATTCTACCTGTCAGTGGATACTTGGGTTGCTTCCATCTTTTAGTTATTGTGACTAAATGCTGCCCTGAACATAGGTGTACGAATATATGGGTCCCTGGTTTCATTTTTTTTGGATTATTTACCCAGAAGTGGAATTGGCTTCATGTGGTAATTCTGTTTTAATTTTTTGAGGAACTGCCATATGGTTTTCCATAGTGGTTGTACCATTTTACGTTCCCACCAGCAGTGCACAGGTTCCAGTTTCTCCACATCTTTGCAAACACTGGTTAATTCCTGTTGCTGTATTAGTTTCCTGATGGGAATAAAGAGCTTCTTCTTGAGGGTTTAATTAGCATTTCCCTAGTGATTACTGATAGTGAGCACCTTTTTGGGTATTTATTGGCCATTTGCTTATCTTTTTTGGAGAAAAAAAAGATAAGCAAAAAAAGTGTATTCTGTTTTGACCTTTGTTCATTTTTTAAGTAGGTTGATTGTTGTTTAGTTGTAAGAATTCTTGACATGTTCTTGTTCATATGATAACTAAATATATCAGATACATGATTCACAACATGTTGATTTTCCTTTTGATGCACAAAACTTTTGGTTTGATATAGTCAAGTTTATCTGTGCTTTTGGTGTCACCAGTGAAACTGTTGCCAAGTCCAGTGCCACGAAGCTTTTCTGCTATGTTTTAATTTGGGTTTTATAGTTCTTAGTATCTGTGTTTGCGTTTTGATTCATTTTGAATTGGTTTTTTGTATAAGTGTCCATCCTTTTGAATAAAAATACTCTAAAAAGTATTTTTTCATATTCCTATTTTTTGTCAATATATTGATTTTGCTGTATACATTTTTTTGTTATACTGATATCCCAAAGGGAATTTTTCAAAACAGAAATAGGAGCATACAGCTCTTAGAAAACTAAACTGGCAGTATCATTGGGTGTTATCTTAGATCAGTGTTAAGTCTACTACCTTTTATGATATGTACCTGGTACTTTTGACTCCCCTTTTATTTCTTTCTTTCCTCTCACAGATTTTCTCAAGGTCAGCAACTTGTGACCAAATTAGTAACTGCTCCTGTAGCTTGTGGGGCAGTCATGGTACCTAGTACCATGCTCATGGGTCAGGTGGTAACCGCCTATCCTACTTTCACCACACAACAGCAGCAGGCACAGACATTGTCAGTAACACAGCAGCAGCAGCAGCAGCAGCAGCAACAGCAGCAGCAGCAACAGCAACAGCAGCAGAGTTCCCAAGAACAGCCACTTCCTGCAATTCAGCAACCATCTCAGGCTCAGCTGACCCAACCACCACAACAGTTTCTACAGGTAAATCGTCCCATGGGAAAGCTGTCTCAGGCCCATTTACATTTTTTATAATGGAACTAGACATAAATGAACAGTTTGTAAGTGATCTTGAAAGCTTTGTCTTGGTGAGCTAGGTTTTCCCTTCCCTTGTTCAATATTTGGAAGAATTAGCCTTGCAATGGGCATACCCAGTTACCTGAATTGCTATGTGGAGTAAATAGCCTACTTCCCGCCTCCATCGGGGTGATTACCTCAAGCCTCATTTCTCTCTTGGTCTAGAGTTTCTGGAATTCCATCAAAGACTACTTTATTTTCTTTTATATCTTCTTTCTAGATACCCATCAAAATCTATTCAACATAGATAGGGTATTGAAAGATTTCTTTGTCAGCACAGGTACTATCTTAAATTATTTAACTGAATTAAATTTTATTAGAATTTTTGTTACAAATTAATGTCAGAGGAGAAACATGGTGGAGGTGCTCTGAATTGAATTACTGCTGTACCATATACTGTGTGAATTTATTAAGGTTCACTCATTAAAATGGAGGCAGTAATAGTTCATTCTTTACACATTTTTTTAAAAAAAGCATATAAATTGCTGAATGTAGCATACAGAGAATAGTTAGCTGTCATTTATGACTATTTTGGCAAATATAATAGATACTCAGATTAACAAAAAAAAAAACAGACACAGATAGCATGTAGGTAAATCATTCAGGATCTGCTTATCTCTAGGGTACAGAAGAAAGTCACCTGGGTCAGGGTGCTCAGTCAGGGTGCTCAGCAAAGAAATCAATAAAACTACTTTCTAGACCTCAGTATCCTCATAGGGAAATCAACTTTCCCTTCTAGTCTAGCCAGAGCAGTTTTAAATGTAGGATGGTCTTGATTTGTACTGGAGACTACCCCATCTGGACCAAGCATATGCTGTCAATTTCACAGTTATACAATGTTAGCATCCAGTTAGGAGATTCAATAGTATAATGTATGTTTAAGCATAAATATACTCTTAATTTGTCACTCTTTTTATCCTAGACCAAATATAATCCTTACTTTATTAATGTAGAAGATTAAAACAGATTAGTTGCCTAAATAACTTTGAGAGTTACACAGTCTCTTAAACCTTAAGTCTGTACTGCAGCTATTAATAACTGGGTTACATATTATTAAAAAATGACATGGCTTGAGGCCAGCCTAGGGAAAAAGTTTGCGAGACCAGTAGCTATACCCGGTGGTACTTGCCTGTATCCCAAGCTATAGGGAGGCTGAGATTGGGATGATTCCAAAAAAAAGTTTGTGAGAACCCATCTCAATTGAAAAAAGATGGAGTGGTAGCTCATCCCTGTCGTTCCAGTGACGCCAGTTGCTTTCTATACTGTGAAATCTCCAGGCCAGATTCCTTTGAAAAATGAAATTTTTGCCCAGTGTGGTATCTGTCACCTGTAATTCCACCACTCAAGAGGCTGAGAGCAGGAGGATCGTGAATTAGTTCACAGACAGCCTGGTCTGTATAGTGAGACCCTGTGTTAAAACAAACAAATGGCTTATTTTGGGTTTTGGCACCAAAAAAAAGGGAGGAAGAGAGGGGAAAAAAAGATAAAGTTTTGTTATGCTTTCAGAAAGAGAGAAAGCTTTATAAGTATTTTCCAAAAGTAGAATTTTTAAGTTAGAGAGTAAAAATGAGATTTTAGAGATCTAGTTATTTGAGTTAATCTGTGTGGACAGTATAAAGGGGTAAAGCAATGTTGCATAATCCATTTGGTTTTTTTAGACTTCTAGGTTGCTCCATGGGAGTCCTTCAACTCAGCTTATCCTCTCTGCTGCATTTCCACTACAACAGAGCACCTTCCCTCCATCACATCACCAGCAACAGCAGCAACTTAGTCGGCATAGGACTGACAGCTTAACTGATCCTTCCAAGGTTCAACCACAGTAGCACACATGCTTCCTTCCTCTCTGATGCCAGGGAAGGAAGGAGATGGCCTGTAAGGAGTTGCTCAGATAACATGAAGACAGAAGGAAAAGTTCCAGCAGTTTCATGGGATATAGTATCCAGTGCTGTTGTTCCTGGAATTAGTTGGTAGGAAAAATGCTACCTAGTGCTACTACCAACTAGCAGGAGATGATCATAGGGACATAGCCAATTCTGACAGTGTTTCCGTCATCTGGATACTTTTTGATGGACAAGGAGTATACTGCCAAATTTAAGAAGCTCAGCTGAGATAACCTCTAGGGAATCAGAAAGGCACTAGCAATGTTAGTAACTTTTAGTGGCTCTGTGCCTGGTATCAAGTGTTAACAGAGGACATACCACTGCCGTGTCAGGGGTTTGCTTACAATGATGCCATGAAGATAGTCCAGTAGTTAGTAGTTCTCTCCCCCACCCCAACCTCTCCCTCTTCAGATAATGATGGAACAGTAATTACTTTCGGAATGTTGTATGAGTTTAAATTCTTTATGTACAGATGCTGTAAAAATATGTATGTCTGGATGAAGGAGAGAAAGCAAACACTCTATATGCTGCATGAAAGCATTATCTCTTCCTTAATAGGTATGAGTACATTTCATTAGAGTTTCACACCTTGTAAAAACTGATACAGCCTCTGTTTTTCCTTTTGTTTACAACATAATACTGTCTATTCACTTTTCCGGGGCACAAGTCTTTTTGTTCGTACTTTAGCTGTGATGTCACAGTTTGTTCAGTGAGCTATGATGTGCTGCTGGGAATGAATTTTTTCAGGTTAAATTATTAATACAACAGGATTTTCACGTTACTCAAAAAATCCCTCATTTCATTATTTTTCAATTATGTTTGAAAATGGGATTTGCACTGCTTTATTTTAGATGATTGGGAGTTTGATCACATATTTTGATACATTTCATTGTTGGAAATATTTATGTAAATGTTTTTCAACAAGCCTGAAAGTAATGTCAAGAATGTTTCAGTTATAGGAGTAAAGTTTGCACACAAAACATTTTAGGCACTTTTTAACATTCTCAGTTGTGGGAATTTTAACTTTTAGCATTTGTTCAAATCTTTTTATTATCCTTCACAATTTCAGTGCTTCTTTTAGTCAGAAATGATTCAGGGTTATTTGGGGGGTGGGGAACAACCCATAGTGCCTTGATTTGAATTCAGGTGATAACTCACCATCTTGAACTCATTGTTCGGTTTCAGTAGCAGTTTTGAAACCTTAGTGCATTTTTAACAGCATGAAGGTGTCAATGTCATCATTCTCCTGAGTTCCCATGAAGACTGCTACAAACCTCTTGATCTGGGATACAAATAATTTAGAAATAAAAGAGAACAGTCTAATATTACCACAACTATTAATGTGATCCAAAAATTGTTTTCTAAATCAGTATCTTTCTTTAAAGGTAAATAGTCATTTAAGAATTACCAGTAAGTATTTGCTCAATATGATCTTGACATTGTTATCCAAAAGGGGTAGAAACTGGTTTTACCCTCATTACTCATAGAATATTGTAATTCACATGCTTTCTAAACATGGACTAAGATTTCACCTGGCAATACTGTATCCTAAAGGTAATAAGTTCCAACACAAGTTATATACATTTTAAAAACATTTTTTAGATTTTATGGTACTAATAATGAAATTTACAATTATAGAACAAAAGGTTAGTGGAAAATATCTGTAATATAAAAACTACTGAGAAAAGGGAGGACAAGTATAATAAATTAGAATTGATCTTAAAAGAAAATGTATATCAGAGATGAGGCTGCTAAGCAAAGGTTTTGAGCACTGAAAATAACAGACTGCAGAATTGCTAGATGAAGGGCTTTGCGGAATGCTGAGTTGGTTCTTTGCCCTCAGCTTTGCCATCATCCTTAAGGGATATCTTTGTTTTCTGTCAAAACAAAACTATATGTGGCCACAATTAAATTAGGAGAGTATAATGTTGGGGAAAAAAAAAAGAAAATTGGTACATACCCTTCTACAAAAGAAGTGAGATGCCAGCCAGTATTTGACATATCATGGGAGTTCTTCTAGCTGAATGATCACCCAGAAGAGTTTCCTGACATTCCATTGTCAAGAACAGTTGTTGGAACTTGTGTGTACTACTTGAGTATCATACATATGCACAGCAAAACTGATGTAAAAATGCAGCAGCAACATTGCTTTTCTCCTTTTCCAAACTGCCTTTCTCAACCTTATGTATCTGAGTTGTGCCTCATTTATTTATTGGCAATACAGTGATAAGGAGTTAGCTAACAAAAAGATACGAAAAAACTAAGTAGTACCCCTCTAAAAAAATGAACTGTGAATACTCTGTACTTAACAAAAGCAAAGCGTAAGACAAGCCACAAGGTAAATTGGTAAGCTATTTGCTTACTCACATTTTCCTACCCCAGCCCCTTCAAATATTTTCCTCTTCACAAAGATGGAGAGGAAATTCAAATTTACTTCATAATTTCTATTCTTCACAGCTTACCTTTTTCCTGAAAGTAAATAGTCGCTAATTTGAAAGGAGCAGTTAGCTGCTAACTTTGCTGTCAGTGTGGAGAGTTGTGTTAGAAGAGCTACCCCCCTTTTCTTCTGGCCTCCCTTGAACTGGAACAGTCTTCTCTCCCTTGAGACTTGAGCATTCAGAGAAGTTTTAGCAGTTGCCTGTTTTTCATGCATTTCTGTCGCCAGAGTTCTTAGTTAAAATCCCAGATCTAAGTCATGAAAAGATACCAATGGGGAACACCCTTCAGCTTCTTAAAAATCTAACCTTTCCCTTGCTTGACTCTCACAGGGATTCAGTTCTTAAAAACATTGTGTCCTGGTGGTGCTTTTTAGGTAAGAAACTCGAGGTAAAGGACAGATGCTAGTTGCTCTGTAATTTGTTTCCTTGCTTTGGACTTCTATGGTGTGGGTTGAGTCTGTGTTGGTTAACTAATACAAGTGAGAAGAGCAAGGACTAACAGAGAGTGGTGTCAAATCAGAAACTAAACACTATACAAGTGCTCCATTGTTTTGAGTGGAAAATATGGAAGGAGATACAAATAAATACTACAGTTCAGGCTCCACACTCCAACCTAAATTCAGGGGGTAATTTTTTTAGTGTTGTGCTCTACTTTGTCACTTGGCTATGGCTTAGGAATGTACTAGTAATAAAAGGATGCCAGTGACTTTGAATGGCTTGTTATAGAATAACAGTGCAGAATAGTGAACGTGTTTGATTCTTTAGATGTGTGGTAGTTGTTGGTCATTGCCTTAAAGCAGTCTCTTGAAGTCAGGCGTACTGAAGCAGTCCAGCTCTATAAAGGGCATTGGGTTGAAGAATGATGACCCTTGTTCAAGAAGCCTTAGAAAGGGACCCTTAAAATGGTAGTCTATCAAGGTGGAGATGCTTTTCATCTGGGTATCACTTTGCTTAAAAATGTTTCCACTACATCGAAGCAAACTTTTTAAGTGGGTGCAGATGACATTTTACTTTCATATTTCTTTTTTTTTTTTTTCCTATTTCTTTGGTGAAGAAATAGGAATAGTGAAGAAATAGAAATAGTGAAGGTTTGTTGCTGAAGATTTGTGTAAAACTCATTCAAGTCTACATTTCCAATATCTGTGGCTCTGTTCTTAGTCCCAAGGAGTCTGTATTGGAAGGTTTAAACACTGGATATTAATATTGCTGAGTGTGTCTAGCCAGGAGTTAAGCTGGTTGGAACTTTTCAGTGGTGGAGAACACATAGCACAAGGCACTTGCCATTTTAATAGTGATTGGAGAAAGAGACCTTTTAAGTTTGTCTGGATTGGGTGAGCATTCTTCTAAAAGGAGCTTCTGAAGTAATTGCAAAGGAAAAGAGTTGACTATTTTTATAGCATATTTAATATATTTGTATATAACTGAGTATAGTAGGAATCCTCCACATACCTCCCACTTTTCTAATTTCCTTCTCCTTTTGCCATAGCCCTAGTATAGCCTCATCCACATGGGTAATGTGCCTATTGTCAGCCTACCAAAAGATAGTGCTGCTGCTTTTTCAGACAGGTGAGATCAGACTCTCATGCCTGGGGATCCTTTATGGGAGGAATAGCACACATTTAAACAACATACCACAGTCTAAAATCATTTTGAAATGTAACAAGCACTTTATTGCAATTATTCATTTTGATACAGTTTATTATCTTAGGCATTAACTATTTCTAAAGGATCCCCAAATCATCACTTAGGTGAAATTATATGACACATTTCTGAGAAATGTTTAGATCCAGTGAACCGTAGAAGGTTTATGGGAGTGATTTCAAAGTAGCCAAATGAACTCTGATTTTTATTTTGAATGTGGTAGAGTCAAGAGATTGTGGATGCCTAGTTCATTTAAACACTATTGTAAACCTATCTTGCCTATTGTGTGGACACCAAAAGAGACCAATGAGCCTGTTTTATTTTCAGAGGTCTAGGAAAATTGCATCTGTGTGAGTAGATATACAGAACTAATCTAAAAGTGACTGGTAGTAATATTTTAGAATACGGTAATTTCAGGAATTATTCTGAGTGTTTTAAATGTGCCCTGAAATGTTGGCATGTCATTTCAGTGTTTCCATTTGAATTGCTCTTGTAACTTTTTTTTGCACAAAAAGGACTGAGAAAAAGACTGCTTTGGTTGAAGAAGAGAGTATAATTTGGTCTCATTTTTAATGTCTCCGGTAGAAACACTGGGGATGAATTTTGTTGATATAGTTATTAATTCAGGATATTTAAAACAGTGTTGAACAGCTCACAAGAAACTAAGCAAACTTGGATATTTAAAAATTAAAATACTTTCTTTCCATGTGACTCTTTTGCATAGTTTTTTCCCCCCATTGCCATAACTTACACTACATTCCTTATTTTTCTTAAATACTTTGCAGGTTTTGTTTTGAGTATTTTAACAATATTTTATAGAATGCCTCCTGGGTTTTCCCAGGGAAACATTCTTTAGTGAAGTAAGATAGTTACATAGTTTCTGAAGAGACTATTAAGTGAAATACCATCACCACCACCAGCAAACACTGAGGTGCTGCATTAAGTGACAATCAAAATAGTAAGTATTTAAGAACATCTAGAAAGTATTGAAAGAAGCAGTTGCTTTGAAAGCAGTTCTCTGGGGTTGAATGAAAATGGCTAAATGTATTTATATTTTTAAATATCTTTGCATTGTTTTCTTTCTCATCAGTGATTTCAGTGTCATGTGTTTAATTTGTGATTTTCTGTTTGCATCATTATCGTGTGCTTGGAGAACTGGCTGTTATTTGGGATACTCACAAAGCCCTCTTACTGACTGGACAATCCGAATCTGTTCACCTTAGGATGGCAGTGAAGGGCCCGTATCCACGTGCCCCTGCATCTGCCTCCTGCTCGCAGCTGATTTAAGAAAAGATATAAAAAGGTAACTCCTTATAGCTCTGCTTCACGTAACGCTAACCTTTTTCTAGTTTCACTTGTTGCCTTCTCTATTTTATGGTTACTTCCCCAGCACAGCCAAAGGCCAGTATGACAGAACTAGTGGCACATTTGCCTCTGTTTTACCCATTTGGGAAAATGTTATTAAAACAGTTAGCATCTCTTCTAACAGTTGTCATTGTCATATCCATATTAAAGTCTTTAAATATAGATGGAACAATATATATACAATGAAAACTATTACAAAAGCTTGGTGTCATATAGTTGTAGTCTTCTGAAAACAAAACAAAAACCAAACCTCCACACACAGCAGAGCTTCAACATCTGAAGCCTAGATCTCCTTCCTGTCCATTGCATTGGAACATAATCCTTCACTGTAAGCTTGGGAATCCCACAGGCAAAGGTACAGCTCACACACAGGGATTCCTTAGACAATGGTAATAAAAACACTGTCAATCAGAGGTTGGATGTGATGATGTAAAAAATGTTTTAACTCTGAGGATTAAATTGAAGATAGGCTATTTTCACATGTACGCTTTTAAATCTTAAGAAACAAACTGTGACATCACTTTACGAAATGACATTCAGATGTTCTGTGTATTTTTTGAGTTGGCTTGTACTGGTCCAAGTTGACTGCTGGCAATGGTTGTGCCATTTCTAAGAAGTTAAGATGTAGGAAAAGCTATGTTATCAAACTAATGTACAACTAGACAATCATCTCCAAGCAAAAAAAAATAAAATCGAGGAAATGTCTTTAAAAAAAAAAAAAAAAGTCATCCAGAAGAGCTCTGAACTCTATTTTAGCATGGTTTAAGTTGGGGAAGGGCCTCAGTATGGCACTTTATTCTTATGTAAAGGTTGAAGCCCAAAGAGAAGTTACATTAGTGTGTGTTGAAACCAGATAGTGCAAAAAAAAAAAAAAGGTTTTATCTTTGTAAATTTTTGTCAACTCAGTTGGTAGTTGTAAAAACATGCACCAAACTCTTTCTAATGTTCTGTGTGGTTCCTAGCTCGTTGTTCTTGACATTGCTGTCCTTACTGCTTGGTTCTGGGTTTAAGTAAAACAGTAGATGCAAGCCCATCAAGTCTTACTTCCCAAAGGATGGAGCTATAAATGGCTACTATTCTTTGAATAAAAATACCTTTATTTCCCTAAAGCAAACATCTAAATGAAATCCAAATTACTTTACAAAAATGAGATAGGCATTTTTCAGGTTTTCTGCCAAAACCCTAAATTGTTAGATGCATGAGGAATAATGAATGGTTTTAACGGTGCTATATTAGGTTCCCTGATTTTCATGAGCTATGTTTAGAAATAGAATATTATGGATCATCGTTACCAGCTTAATATTGGCATTTTAATTCGTTGTTACAATGGGGTACACTTGGTTTTTAAAGTTATCCTTTGAGAAGAAAGTAAAAATGTACTATTTGCCTACCTCCACTCAGGCTTCTTGCTGTATAATCGTTTTTCCAGGTTACGATGTACATAGCTCTTAAAATCTACATGTACTATTATAATGTTCTTTCCCATAGACTCTTGTAATGTATTCAAAACCTAAAATTACAGCAAAAGAGCCAAGCAGTAGCATTGTGGGGTTTTTTGGGTTTTTTTTTTGGTAAATGTAAAAATAATTAGATCCAGACTTTGTTTCCTTCTATTTTAAAAAATAAAAATACCTCAGTGCTATGTTTTTCAGTATCGCCTGCATTTCTCCAAAATTAACAACTGCTTTATAAGTGGCACATAACTTGTAAGAATCACATTTTGGATTTATAGAAAGACTATTAAATATTTTTAAATTGCTCTTAGTGACATTTTCTTTTTTTTATTCAACAGCTAGATTAGCAGCTTTTCTTTTGTAGCTTAGATCTGAATTACCAAATTCCCTTAAGTGGTTATGTCCTGCTGCAAGATTGGTGGGACTTCAGAAAGCCATGCTTGTTATTCACATATAAGCTAGTGCTGGATCAGACTACGGGAACCAAGGTCATCAGGCTATGATGGGGCCAATGCTTTCTACAAGGAGATTCTACTACTAACAAACAATCCTCTTTGTTTATATTAAGGCAGTTATTGGGGTGTCTAACTTTACAGAAGGTGTAGTGCAGCCACTGAACCTGCAATTTCTTTGAAGCGCTTTGCTTTACCTCATGGATATTGTTTCTCTACCCTGTAATACACACTCTCTATGGTAGAGGCCTCCTTAAAAGTTTCCAAAAATGAATTTTCTCTTCATCAAAATGTGTTACTGCGTAACTGGATAGTAGAAAGACATTTTACAGCTGAGGACTACGTTTAGGTCTTTTCTTTAGAAGGTAACCAGAGTTACTAAGCAGAGTAAGGCTGGGTAATTAACTGGGTTCTTTCGCAGTCTCTTCAATTGTTCTGGGTCTGTTATATTCCACACAAGGAATACCTGGATATTTCTATAGACCTGGCCTTCAGATTTAAAACAGGCTATTAATGGCATTGTTACCTCATAGGAATATGACACTTGAGTGGAGAGTACAGTTAGCAAACACTAAAGCTGCCATGAAAAAATAAGGCAGCCCTTAGCACAATGAACAATACAGGCTCTGGAAGTAAACTGCCTGGTTTGACTCCCTGTTGTTCTACCATGTCACCAATGGTAAGTTGCTTTTTTTTTTAAACCATATGTTGGTACCTAACACCTCATAGAACTGTGAATGTTATGACAGTGTTTGAGAATGGCTCCTGTTTAGCTACATACCAGAGTCTTTATACTTAATTTAGAAGTTGATCTATAAATACTTATAATACTACTTTACTAAGTTAGTAATTCATATAATACACAAGGAAAACCAAGTACTGGTCACACCAATTTTATTTACATTGTAGCTATGTTACATTGTTTATTCAATATAGAAAAAATATGAATACATTCATAGTATTCTCTTTTAAT